TTATCCTTTGCCCTATTCATAATCTCCCTTAAATCCAAATCAATTTTATGTAGCGTTTGCTAAAATCATATGTTTAAATTAAGAAAATATTTACACATTGAATTGATATTAAAAATGTGGCTTCGTAATAGCCTGCAAAAGATTTTCACTTTGCTTGATATGTAGGATTCGAGCACTGCAAAAATAACTTAATATAATTAGATAAGTCTCACTAATTGTTGTCTTTCAATAAATAGTTAGGCAAAATCTTTTTAGTTTTTTTTTGATTATTTGAATCAATATCATAAACGTTCGGTTAAAAGGCTTCCTCTTCTTGGGTGGTGTAAAAAAGTCACAAACTGACGATATTGTTTCTATATTTTGAAAAATATATTAGAATTATAAAAAGATATCTATAATACATAATAAAATCCAATAAATTCCAATTAAATTAAAATATTTTTACGTAAACTGTTCCGGATGTCTCGAATTTTGCATGCCTCATATATCATCAAATTTAGGTAATGTGAACTACAGTGAACATATAGAGCTGTGCTATAAAGCTCTCTAATTCTTGATTGCACCCCTTTAACATGACCTCTCATCGAGGGAGCTCTATCATATCCTTGGCCTCTCATTAGATTTAAATTTAAATCTAGTAGATAAATTTTTTGGCTAACGTCTTTGATTTGAAAAAAGTGTTTCTTAATTTTGAAATCACCTGATTCCATTAAATAAACCTTACTGCTATGGATAATTGCTCTATGCTACCAACATCCGAAGTCTCATCCGCCAAAACACTAAAAATTGGTGATGCTTTCACTTTTGAATAAATTTCTTTCAATATGAACCTATTGCATATGGCTATTATTTCTTTTTGAAAACTTGGTCTAAGGTATGGTAGGTAGCATTTTTAGCAGATCTTTCTAAAAGCTTTATATATTTATCATTATTATTACATAAAAGTTTCAACAATTCCTTGAAATTCACTTCATTATGAGAAGAGTATGTAAGTGTGAAGGGGCCAGCAGATATTCTGTGAGCTCTTAATGCTAAGCCCTGCCTCCCTAACCAAATGATTGTATCAATTATTATATTGCTCTGTTGGTTGTAACAATATCAAAATTCTTTTTATTCAATACATTAGATATTGATATCTTTTGATTCATAGAGATGGCTTTTAAAGCATCCGATATCTCACAAAAATTGTGGTAAATATTTTAGTTCATATAATTTTTAATATATATTTTTAAACAATGTGATCATTTAAGATTGAATATTCTTATTTGTTTTTTTTAAATATATTTCATTTTGATATCGTATATAAATTTATTTATAAATTGAAACACTTTTTTAAATAAAATTATTCGCAATAAGAAAAAAATTTCAAAAATTTTTTTTTTCGGAGGTTATGGGGGGGGATTCAACCCCCCCCCCCCCTTGTCTACGCCACTGCATATACTACATAATTCTTACAAGAAGGCAATGAATGTATTATCTGTAATTTCGAAATAATTGTAATGAAATGTTTTAACTAATTTAGTTTATCAATTAAAAGAGTTAATGAATCAGAGTTGTACAAAAGATCTTCTTTGAAGATTTTTGAGCAAGATCTTTGAAGATATTTAAATTTTAAAAAATTTTGAGCAACGATCGATCTTTGAAGATCTTTTATTTTTAAAAAATTTCGAGCAACGATCTTGTCAAATTTGAAGATTTTTTATTTAAAAATATTTTAGATTAACGATCTTCAAAGATCTTCATATTTTATAATGTTATTAAGCATGTTAAATTAAAATAAAAATTCAGACAATTTTCATAATTGTTATTTTTTTTGAACTTTTTTTGACATATATGAGTAAAAATTTATATTTAAAAAAAAATTTATATTAAAATTTCAATGAAGATGTAATGTAAGTAACACAGAAAAGTGACAATTGTAATAATCGTTATTTTTTAACTTATTTGATTTATTGCGTCGTAAATAGTCTATAATTTTTATTATTAAGATGTAAAAATAAAATTTCAAAGAAGATGTACCATAGAAAAGTGACAATTGTCATAATCGTTATTTTTGAACTTTTTTGAATTTTTTTAAGGCAAATGGGTGAAAATAGATATTGTTAACATGTTAGATTAAAATTTCATTGAAGATGTACCACAGGAAAGTAACAATTGTCATAATCGTTATTTTTGATAATTTTTTTTAAAACAAATGGGTAAAAATAGATATTGTTAACATATTAAATTAAAATTTCAGTGAAGATGTACTACAGGAAAGTGACAATTGTTATAATCGTTATTTTTGAAGTTTTTTGAATTTTTTTAAGGCAAATGGGTAAAAATAGATATTTTGTGTATCGTGTTAGCATGGAGTCATTTTGTGTAATAAGCATTTTATTCTGTGATTAATATTTTTTTTTGATTTTTTTGCCCATTCATTCTTGTGATTGTAAAAAAAATTGCTATTTTTAAAATTATAAAAAATTATATTGTTTATTATTATGCATTAATTAAATAGATATATATATAGAGAAAAAAAGAAATAAAAATTATTATTGCGTTTTTTATATTTTTTTAAAAAAAATTCATTCATCCATTTCTTGTGTCTTGTGAAAAAAAGGGAAAAATTATTATTTGAGATTTCTTGAAAACAAAAAAAAGGTTAAAGAATAAGAACAAAGGTATCAAGTAAGAACATATTTGACTTTTAAAACATTAATTATAAACAGTATAATTTTTACATTAATATTTAGAATTTAAATTATATACAGTATAATTTTTACATTAGTATTTAGTATTTGACTTTTAAAATATTGACTTTTAAAATATTGGTGGCCAATAACTTGCGCCTTCGTGTATACCCGATTGGTTCGGATGTTATTAGGTGTAAAATACCCGATTGGTTTGGAAGTTATTAGGTGTAAAATACCCAATTGGTTCGGAAGTTATTAGGTTTAGGATACCCGAGAGTTTCGCACTTATTATGTTGGTGTAACCACAAAGGTCTAATACACGGAAGTGCTGCCCAAAATTTTGGCCAGTAAAAACCTGTTACACGAAGTGCTGCCCAAATTTTTCCAAAAATAAATCTATTAGACAAATATATCCAAAATTTAGAAATTAAGCCTAATACACGGAAGCGCTGCCCAAATATTTCCAAAAATAAATCTGTTAGACAAATTTATCCAAAATTTTAGAAATTAAGCCTAATACACGGAAGTGCTGCCCAAATTTGCCCAAATTTTTCCAAAAATAAATCGGTTAGACAAATTTATCCAAAATTTTAGAAATTAAGCCTAATACACGGAAGTGCTGCCCAATTTTTCCAAATATAAATCTGTTAGACAAATTTACCCAAAATTTTATAAATTAAGCCTAATACACGGAAGTGCTGCCCACATTTTTCCAAGTAAATGGCTAATAGACAATTTCGCCCAAAATTTTAGAAATTAAGCCAGCTACACGGAAGTGCTGCCAAAACTTTTGCAAATATAAAGCTCTTAGACGATATTTATCAAAAATTGTAAAATGTGCTGCCCAAATACTTTTAAACATAAATCTGTTACAGGAAATTTACAAGAATTTTGTCATCCATTGACCTATTAAATGTGCATGTATATGTGCATCATTGGCTTATTTACGTTACTTATAGTATCTTACTTGTTGACATTACAGATAACCAAGATTTTTATTTTGAAATTGATCATAAATTTTTTATAACGCCGTGATGAAAAGTTTAAAATTTGTTAAATTCTGGGAGGTTCAGTATAATATTTTTGGAGCGTTGGTTATACTATTAATTTGAATATGTAGTTTAGTTTGGGACAAGAGAATGAAAAGGAGTCGCAGCGTTAGAATTAAAGGACAAACTTTGACCATTGAGGGACATAATGGAGAGGAGGATATGATGGGTAAGGTTACTTGGTTACCTGTTCAGGAGTTAATTAAAGGGTGGACGGATAGCAATATAAATAGTAATATATATATGGCTCTGAGAAACAAAATTTTGGAAATAATCAAGTGTTGCGACCGTATAGAGAGCCCAGAGAAAATTCTCGGGGAAGGAGAGTAGAAATGAGACAAAATTTTGAATCTCAGGGAAGAGGGCTAATGAGTTGTTATAATTGCTGTAAATCAGGTCATATGCTCAGAGAGTGCCGGGAGGCTAAGTGTTTCGGTTGTGGAAAATTAGGACATATAGCCCCTTACTGTCCGGGTAAACAAGAGAGATTAAGATGTGCGGGTGGTGGTAGGTTTAGGCATAATAAGGAGGAATGTAATATGAACAATTACAGTAACAAAAGTGGTTTTCCACAGAGAGGGATGAGTCCGAATGCTTTAAATGTGAGGACTATTGATCGGGAGAGTATGGAAGAGGGGCGGGCAGTTAATGTCAGAGAGTTAGGGGAGAAAAATATGGAATGTTTTCATGCCGAAAGGGTGGTCATTTGGCGAGGGATTGTGAGAATTTGTGACTACATGATAGTGAAAAAATTGCAGGTCGGGGCGAGATGGTTAGGGGGTACGGAGGAGGGATTTAATCGGCGAAAAACAAATAAAGAGGGATGCCTAAATATGTTACAAGAGGGGATAGTAAATATGCTACAAGAGGGGATAGTCCATGGTCCTTGTCCTAGAGTCATAATAAATTTGGGGGAAGAATGGTTCCCATGTTATTTGATATAGGAGCTGTTGGTTATAATGGATATCAAAGTATTTGGCCTGGGGAAAGGATAGAGAATGAGGGGTTGAGAATAAGGCACTTTGATGGAACTTTGTTGGCAGCCATAGATAGGGTAGAGATAGTGGCGACATCAGAGGAAAGGGTGGAAATATTGGATTTATGGATTATTAATCGGAATATAGAAGCGGTGATGGATTGGGATTGGATCACTTGAATTGGTCCATGGTAGAGTTTTTGGGGAGTATTTTCATGGTGGGGAATATTTGTACCAATAACGAGTGAGGAATATGCTGTTATGACCTTGAGAGAGAATGTGTTGCCTGGAATTGAGACCATGTTTAATGAGGGAACCAGCGAAAATCTTCCTAGGAGCGAAACAAGGAACGAAACAAGGAACGAAACAAGGAGCGAAACACGGAGCGCTATTTTAAGGAGCGAAACAAGGAGCGATAATTTAAGGAGTGAAACAAGGAGAAATAATTCTAGGAGAGAAACCAGAAGCGATAATTTTAGAAACGCAACAAGGAAGAACAATTCCAAGAGCAAAACCAGGAGCGTCAATTCAAGGAGCGATAATTCAAGGAGCGGAACAGGTCAAAATAATTCAAGGAGCGATAATTTAAGGAGCGAACTAAGGAAAAATAATTCCAGGAGGGTAACAAGGAGCGATAATTCTAGGAGCGAAATAAGGGAAAATAGTTCGAGGAGCAGAGTAAAGGGAGGTAATGATAGAACGGAAATAAAAGAGAATAACTCCAAGGGCGAAATAGGGAAGAAGAATCCTAAAAGTAAAATGGGGGAAAGAAATTCAGGGGGAGAAGGCGCAAACAATGTTTCAAGAGAAGAAGTAGGTAGAAATTAGGGGCACGTTGGAGCCAATTAAAGGGGTTGTGATATTACGAGGAGGAAGGAAAAGTGGAGGATACCGTTTGAATGGAGAAAGGAAGTAAAATTGGAATTGAATTAATGGGTACAGAAAGGTATTGTATGTCCGGTGGAATATAGTGAATGGGCGACTCCTTTAGTGCCCGTGAAGAAAGCCAATGGGAAACTTCGTTTATGTGCAGATTTTCGAGTTACAGTAAATCCGTGGGTGGTGGAGGTTAAGTATCCCTTGCCAAGAATTGAAGAAATACTAGCTAGTCTAAAAGGAAGTGTTTATTTTTCAAAGGTGGATTTCTCTAATGCATATCAATAATTACGGGTAAAGCCGGAGGTGAGGAAGTTGTTAACGATTACTACGCCAAAAGGATTGTTTGCGTTTTGTAGATTCCATTCGGACTTCCTGTTTCAGCTCCCATTCAGCGTACGATGGCTGCGGTTTTTCAGGGAATGGAGGGAGTTTTCTACTATATGGATGATGTCTTGGTGACGGGAAGAAATCCCGAACAATATGAACAGAGATTAGAGGAAGTATTTCGAAGAATCAAGGAGAAAGGATTGAGAGCCAGCGGGGAGAAGCGTGTTGGGGTGACCGAAGTGACTTATCTGGGGCACAAGATCACAGGAAAGGAGGTGCGGCCGGTGTACAGAAATATGACTGGAATTAATAATATGATAAGACCCAGTAATAAACCAGAGTACAGGCATTTTTGGGGATGGTAAATTATTATCATCGGTTCGTGAAAGGATTTGCTCAAGTAGCAGCGCCCTTATATCAATTATTAAAGAAAGGGAGAAAATGTGAGTGGACAAATGAACAAGAAGAGTCCTTCGAAGAATTAAAAGGCCAAATAGGAAAGGAACCCGTTTTAGTGTGCTTTAATAATGAATTGGAGTGATATTGGCGGTAGATGCATCCAATAAAGGTGTTGGAGAAGCGCTTTTGCATTTTATTGATGGGGTAGAAAGGCTGTGTTATTTTTCTCAAGATTTTTTAGAGCGGCAGAGACCAGGTATTCAGTGATTGAGCAAGAAGCATTGGCCGGTATTTCCGGATTAACGTAGTGCCGTGATTATCTGATCGGGTGCAGATTTATTATTTATCACAAGCCATTGGTGAATCTATTCAGGAAAGACAACAAAGAACTAATGCTATCGCCTAGGCTGCAGAGATGGTTATTGCTCGTAGGCAGTTTTGATTTCCAAGTGAAATATCGACGAGGGAGGGAAATTTATTTACCAGACATTTTATCCAGATGCGGAGCTGGGGAAGATTTGGAGGAGAAAGAACAAGAGGAAAGGGAGGAAAAAATTGAACAAGGGCTGATTCGGACCATGGCAGGAATATCTAGAGGCGGGCCAGTAACATGGGAAGAGATTAAAAGAGTGACTTTGAAAATAGGGAATTGAGACGGATCAAAGCGTGCCTTAAGGGACAGAAAATGTGGCGGGATAGAGACAAGACCTAAATATGTACAGAGGGAATTAGCGATAATAGATGAATATTTGGTGCAAGGAAATAGGAGTGTTATACCAATCAAACTAAGAGAAGCGGGAATGGCAATGATTCATGCTGGGCGTCAAGGAATGGAAAGAATGAAACAGTGGGGACGAGAATATGTTTGGTGGCCAGGAATGAACCGAGACATTGAAAATATCAGTCGAACCTGTGTTAGATGTAATTCTTGGGCTCCGATGCCCCGAAAAGATAAAGAAAGTGTGTGGTCGAAGACAGCGCAGCCTTAGGAGTGTATCCATTTGGATTTCTTTGACTTCGAAAATAAAAAATATATATTAGTGGTAGATGCTTTTTCTAAATGGGTAGAATATGAGGAAGTAAAAGGATTAACAACCCAGATCGTGATAAAAGTATTAAAAAATTTATGGGCCAAATTTGGGGTTGCCATGACAGTGGTAAAGGACGGGGGCCCTGCCTTCATTAGTAGACAATTCGAAATCTTTTGTACAGAAACTGGCGTGAAACACATTTTAGCGCCTCCATATCATTCGAGTTCGAATGGACAAGCGGAGAGGATGGTAGCGGTGGTCAAGAACTGGTTGAGAAAGTCAAAAGATGGAGGCAGAGAGATGTGGGTGGTCGTGGCGTACTATAACAACAGTAGAAAAGGAGAGGAGCCGTCGCCGGCGGAGAAGTTTTTAGGACGGAGAACTAGAATTTGGTTGGATTCGTTAAAACCGACAAGACAGGGAAAGAAGCTGTCTGAGGCCGGGAATGAAGCTGAATTTAAGGTAGGGCAGACAGTATGGGCTAGGATATTTGGAAGTAATAAGAAGTGGGAATCCGGAGTGATCGTGGAGAACATGGGACGAAAATTAAATCGAGTGAAATTCACCGACGGAAGAGAGGGAGTACGGCATCGGGATCAATTGAAGAGGGGCGTGGAACCTGGGAGGTTACGATCGGGAGTATGAATAGGAGGATATACTTGATCAAAAATTCAGGGTGTAAAATAATTCATTTTAGTATGGTGCACAATATATCCGTGAAAAATTGAAGGGGACAGTGAAACCAGAGGTGTGGTAGCTCAATACCAAGGTGATTGATAATAATAATAAAAATAGCGGGGTGATTGATAATAATAATAATAAGGGAATCAACCATATAATGGTTGATGGGACAAAATAGTTAATGGATTGTACAAATGGGAAATGAAGCAGGTCGAATTAAGATAAATCTACGGTAAATCGACAATAATGACACACAAAGGGAGGAAATTCAAGGAACTAACCACCGTATAAATTCGGAAAACACCATAAAGGGACGAGAATTGTGCCGGGTGAGAGGTGAAATGCGAAGTTGGGTTTTCAATTAGTGAGGGCGTGTTATGTGTATCATGTTAGCGTGGAGTCATTTTGTGTAATAAGCATTTTATTTTGTGATTAAAATTTTTTTTTTGATTTTTTTGCCCATTCATTCTTGTGATATATTATAAAAAAAATTGCTATTTTTAAAATTAGAAAAAATTATTATTGTTTATTATTATGCATTAATTAAATAGATATATATATCAGAGACCTGCAGGCCCGGCCCGTATTTTAAATTTTTTAAATATACCCGGGCCGGGCCTAAAAAAAAATTTTTTAAACATATCCGGGCCGGGCCTAAGATTGTTAAACCCGGGCCGGGCTTTAATATTTTTTATAAAAATTTTTACATTATGAGTTAATGGTTATAAGATTATATTATATTATAGTTATGAAAGCATTAATATATTTTTTTATAATTCATATCTAAATTTTTACAAAATATTTTACCAAAACAATCAAATAAAGGAATATCTTAAATAAGCCCCATTATTCAAGTATTAATAATATATTTTTTTATAATTCATATCTAAATTTTTAGAATATTTACCAAAACAAACAAATAAAGGAATATCATGACACAAAATACTAATGATATAATTAATAAAATTAAAAATAATATTTATTCTTTTAGAAATACAAATAATAATTTAAAATCTGAAATATGGGCTAAATTTAACATCATCATAGATGAAAATAAAAAAAACATTGGCTACGTAAAATGTAAGAATAGTTCAAGTATATTATCTTATAATTATAAACATGGTACATCACATTTAAAAGGACATAAATGTGATGGGAAATCCATGAAAATTAATAATTTTTTTTTACACCTGAAAAACCAACCTATAAATGTAATATAAAATATTTAAAAGAAAAATTTATAGATCATTCCTTAACACTTTGAGCAAAAGATATTAGATCTTTCGAAATGATAGCTGGGAATGGGTTTCTTGAATTCAGCTAGGCTCTAGTCGATGTTGGGGCAAAGTATGGTAAAATAGATATCAACTCATTGATTTCACATCCCACCACTCTATCACGCCACCTTAAAGAAAATGTAATAAAATAAGAAACATTTTGGTTGATACTATTGCCCCAGTAATCAAGAATCGATTTATGGCTGCTTCCATTGATATATGGTGCGATGACCATAAAAAGAACTCGTTTATAACAGTTAACATGTACTATATATCAGATGACTGGAAGTTAGTGAAGAGAAACCTATTTACCGCTAAATTTAAAGAAGTGTCAAAGACTAGCAAAGTAGTTAAGGATGAACTATTAAAAAAATTTCATAATTTTAATTTTAACACTAACGATTTTATTAATATAATATTTGTTACAGACCAAGGTAAAAATATTATAAAAGCATTGGAGTTAAATGAACGATTAAATTGTTCTTTTCATATATTAAATACAATTTTAAGAAATTCATTTAACTTCAAATATTTGGAAAGTAATGCCCCATTAATAAAATCAACAATAGATAATACTAAAATATTAGTGGGGCATTTAAAACAAAGTAATAAATGCCAGTATTTGAAAGCCCTTTATCAAGATATAGAAGTCCGCTGGAACTCTAAATACAATATGCTCAATTCTGTTTATTCTCAAAATGAAGAAATTATAAAAGTTCTTCAAGAACATGGGGGATCGGAAAAGTATTATATTATAGACTTTCCGATCCTTCAAGATCTAGTCAAAATTCTTGAGAATTTTAACAGAGCTATTGTTGAGTTACAGTCGGACTCTTGTACTCTTTTTAAAGTGGTAATTTGGTATTATGAACTTCTTGAAGTTTGTAATACCTTTCAAAGCGAAAAAGGAGAAATAAAATTGATTTTACTTAATATAAAGCATTTTTTAATTGAAAAATTTGTTTTACACAAGTATCATTTTATTTCTCTTCTTCTCTCTCCCAAATTCAAGCAATTACGTATGTTGTCAGGGACAGATCGCAAGATGACGGAAAACTATATATATATTAAATTACAAGAGGCTCAGGAAGTAAATGAAATACCATCGACCAGTCAAATTACGACTGTTGTTAAACAAATTGAATCGTTTTATGACAAATGGGGCGATGGTAATTCTGGTAATATGTCAATACCCGATGATGAATATTATAATTACATAAATAAAAAAATAGAT